TAATTTTTAAACATGTTTTCTAATTTTTAAAAAATTTAAAATTAAAACTATTTTCTGAAAACAAAAACAAATAATTGAAATATAAAATATTTTATAGACCAAATGGACCTAAAATCTTCATCCACACACAAAAAATACGTATTCTATATTAACGATTAATTTTCATGAAAAGTAAAGCAAACAAAATGAGCGAGGAAGGGGGTACTAAGAACTAATATGGATGAGCAATGGAAATAAACTAAGAGCCATTTAAAAAAAAACAAACCCGCTTTGGCTGAACCATGCACTAGTGATGGCTAAGAACATACAACCAAGAAACAACCATGCGCATCGTGAAAACCTACGTTATTGGTTGGCAAAAGAGAAAGCATCAAAATGAACATTGACCCATAAAAGGTAATGATAAGTTTTTCATAAATCCTTAGGCACCAAACTAAGCTTCAGTACAACTTTCCACCCACAGACAGACGGCCAGTCAGAACGTGTTATTCAAATCCTAGAGGATAAGTTTAGGTGCACCGTGATAGACTTTGAGGGCAGCTGGGAGGATCACTTACCTTTAGTGGAGTTTGCGTACAACAACAATTTTCAGTCGAGTATCTAGATGGCTCCGTATGAGGCCTTGTTTGGGTGAAAGTGTAGGACTTCGCTATGTTAGACATAACTAAGTAAAGGTAAATTTGTAGGTATAAAATTGATCAAAGAAACTGAAGAGAAGGTTCGGTTGATTCAGGACAGGTTGAGAGTAGCTTCAGACAGGCAGAGGTCTTACACGAATTTGAAGCTTAGGGACATGGAGTTCGCAGTAAGGGACAAAGTGTTCCTCAAGGTTTCCCCCATAGAAGAAGGTGATTTGTTTGGCTGCAAAGGGAACTTGTCTCCACGCTTCATAGGAACTTATAAGGTATTGAAGAGAGTTGGGTCAGTGGCTTACCGATTAGCCTTACCACTAGAGCTAGAGCGCATCCATAATGTGTTCCATATGTCCATGCTCAGAAGATACCGATTCGATCCCTCTCATGTCATCCCTCTAGAGTAAGTCGTGGTTAATCAGGATATGACCTATAAGGAGGAGCCAATCCGTATCTTAGCCAGATAGATTAAGAAACTAAGGAACAAGAGGATTCCCCTTGTAAATGTACTTTGGAGGAACCATGGCATTAAGGAAGAAACTTAGGAAATCGATGAGGACATACAACTTCAATACCTCCACCTCTTCTATCCAGGTAAATTTCGAGGACGAAATTTTAATTAGGAGGGGAGAGTTGTAACGCCTCAAATTTTGGGTTAGGAGTCTAGGGTTAAACTGAACTGGGTTTTAGATTTAACTTAGGGCTTCTAAGATGACCTTGACCCAAGTTGGGATGGTTTTGGGCTTGAGTTAGGCCCAATAATAGTCAAAAGAGGACCCTTTCACAATGTGATCAAATCTAGAGTGGCCAAGGATGTAATAAACCCATTTTTCTTTTGGAAGACTACTTTTTCATTGAGGAAGATGATATCACGTTGTTCCCTCCTTTTTCACCATTCTTCATTGTCTCTTCTTCTTCATCTTTCATCCCCAAATCTTCATTCTATTCAAGCAACAAAGGTGTTAACTTTACTAGTCAACCATATCCATTTTGAAATCCAAAGGTAGGAATCATAACCTCCAACTCCTTAGCTTTCAACCAAGCTCCCAATTGTAAGTTTTGGTGAATGAAAGCCAAAAGCGGGTTTAGTGGGGGGTTTTGGAAAACCATTGTAAACTAGTCCAATTTAGGGAGATTTTAGCTTTTATAAACGGTTTAAATCCTTCTATAAGCTTCCCAACAACACTAATAATTTCTATGTTGTTTTCATGTTTAGTGATAAAAGTGGGAGAAACCTCTCAAGCCAAAGGAAAGGAAAAACTAGAGGTTGGTTGAGCTTGTGGGAGTTTCCAACAATTTAATACATCAATGTAACTCACTTTAGACTTAAATATATCATATGTAGGTTAATTAAATGTGGTTAGTAGATTGCATGAGCTAAGTGACATTTTCATGGTAGAAATTGAAATTCAGTGTTTTCGGTATGTTTATAGCCTCTTTATAATACCTTTAATCATAAATAAGACTTTAAAAACAATTGAGACCCTCAGTAGGGATTTTAGAATAGAAAGGTTGCATTTTTTTGTGCCTAAACAAGGCATTTTCGAGCGAGGGTATCGGTACTGGAGGAACAATACCGATATTGTTCTTAAAACAAAAAGTAAATTCATTAGGGAGTATCGATACCTATTCATGATGTATCGATGCTGCAGGGTTGGCATCGATACCCATGGGATGGTATCGATACCGAGATCACTTAGCAATTACAGTAGACAATTTTATCGGTACCTAAGTTAGTATCAACACCGGTATCGATACTCTCTATAGGAGTATCGATACTTAGTAAATTATTAAAACATCAAAGATAAAAATGGTGTCGATACCAGGGGTTGGTATCGATACTTAGGAGTTAGTACCGATAATAAAGGCTCATAATCGGTACCCACAAACAATTTTGGGCAAAGAACTCAAGAATTTTAAGAGTAGGTTCTAGGGGTCCCATTCATACCAGAATGCTACAATATAAAACTACAAGTGAGAACATTAAATTAACTCAAAACAGTAGAAACAACAATAGCTAGGATGAAATAAACCTAGCCTTGTTTGACGCTTGGGACACAGCCAGGAAACTCGAGTCACTCTAATAAATATAATCATATAGTCGAATATCGTAGTCAGTGGTAAGACATTTACCGCTAGCCGGGCGCAGATGCCCTAAAACTTAACGAAGTGAGTTGGCTGGGTATATGTTTCCGATGCAGTTTTCAGAACTCACCAAGAGTACCTTCGGGTATTCATGTAGACTATAGGGCTCTGAATGGAACCATTCAACGCTGAATGTTGAACCGTTCATCATTCAGACTATTTGTTTCTAACCTCTGAATGATTCAGTGCTGACTGATTCAGCAAAACAGTGCTGAATGATTCAATACAGAAGTACATTCTGAATGATTCAGAGCCATTATCAAACAACATGTCACATTTAGAGCTAATTCATACAGAGCCTCTGAATCATTCAGCATTTGAATCATTCAGCGCTTAATCATTCTGAAGTAAACAAACAACTCCTTAGTTTAATATTAAATATATATATCGACATAATATTAAAATTAACTTTTAAGGGTTATTAAAAGAATGATTTTGATTTTGTTAATATTTTAACACCTAACATTTTATTTTAAGATAAAATGTCTTTAGCATTAACTAATAATCAATTTTAAAAGCATCTTGACTCTTAGATATTTCATTTTATGGTAAATATTATATTTTTGAGTGTTAATAATTTGTTATATAATGATTTTTATTTATACAAATTTTTTCTTCTAAAATAAAATGTTAAAATTAAAAAATTTAAAATGATAATATAAATTACAATAAATATTTTTTTTATTAATTTAGGATAAGTATAATAACTGCAAAGATATCTCTCAACTATTTGATATTGAACGTTCACGCTTATATCATTTTTGGTGCTCGAATCCGGGACCTCAAAGAATAACTAGTATTTTTGATTTTAGGGTAAACTATATATCTAGTACCTAAAATATTACTTTTGTTTCGTTTTGAAACCTAACCTTTATTTTAAAAAAAATAATACTTAACATTTATTTTAAGTTTTATTGTGATACTCACCATTAAAAACTTAACATAAATACTATATGTGGCATTATTTTCATGGATAGATTATATCAATCATCACTCAACTATTTATTCACCCCCTATTTTGGTTAGCAAAGTTTAAAAATTTTCAGTTTAACTAATCAACTTTCAAATTACTTTTTTTAATCACTCTAATTGATTTTTTAATAATTTTTGTGATATGAAGTTTATTATTATTTTATTAATATATAATTAAAATAAAAAAATTAAATTTGAAGTTTGAGTGATTAAATTAAGAGTAATATATAAAATTTAAAATTTAGTGATTAAAATAAGAGTGAGAAGATAATTAAATGATGTAATTTATTAAGCAAAAATATCACGTATAAAATTACTTACTGTTAAGTTTTTAAAGCGAGATATCATAATGAAACAAAAAAAACATGAGGTATGATTTTGAAAAAAAATAAAAGTTTAAGTATAAAAAAGAAATAAAAGTAATAATTTAGATACTAAAATTATAATTTACGCTTAATATAATGCCAAATATATTTCAACTTAGGGGTCGTTTATTTACTGTTGAATGGAACCATTCAGTGCTGAATGCTAACCGTTCAGTGTTGAATGCTAACCGTTCAGTGTTGAATGCTAACCGTTCAACATTTAGCTTGTTTGATTCTCACCTCTGAATGAAGACTATGCTGAATGAAACAAAAAAACACTGCTGAATAAAACAACAAAACACTGCTGAATGATTTAGCATTAAAGTACATCCTGAATGATTCAGTATTAAAGTACATTCTGAATCATTAAGCACCCGGTATTTTACCATAATACATATTTTTTTTACATGTTGTCTTATTAAACAATCATATCTTATAATATAATAAATCATTATGAAGGTAAAAATGAAAATATTCATAATTCAGATTGTACATTCAGAACCATTATCATGTCGCATTCAGAGCAAATTCATACAGAATCTTTGAATCATTTAGGCCATTGAATCATTCAGCGTTTAATCATTTTATTTTATCAAACAGCCCCTTAATGTATTATTTAGGGGATTAAATGGATGAGCCATGGATTAATCGGAACCGTTGACAGAATAAGAATATCAACGTGGCTGCATCGTAAATATGACGACCAAACACGAGAAGGACCCTTTGCTAGTTGAAGAGAACAGGGTTAAAAATTCGACAAAACCAGAAAAGGTACGGGCAAAATCCCGTAATAAGATGAAAATCCAAGGGCAAGAGTAGGAAGTTCACAATATTTAAATGAGCGAAAAAAGGATTAGAAAAAAGAAATAAAAATAAAAATTAAAGGCAGCAACCAAGAGTTCGAACCAGAAATCCAAAAGAACCCTTCTCATCTCATCTCTCTCTCTAAATTTCTTTGGAGGATTTCTCTTGGCGTGGCCGTGTTGTATTTCTGAACAATCTCATCTTCTTCACAGATTCATCATATTATCGATATACACCTATCTGTAAGACCTTTATCTCTCTATCTGAAACCCTAAAATTTCATTTTCCCTTCGATATTCGTTCTTTAAGATCCATAATTTCTCTTATCCAGTTTGAAATATGTAAAAATGGTGATTCATTGGGTGCCGTTTTTGGGTGTTTTATTGATTCATTTTATTGCATGTAAGCAATTATTGTTTTGTTATTGGATTGAGAAATCGATTTTTCTTTTGAGTTCTGTTTAGGTGCCTTTTGGTTTTTATCTGCTAATTGGTCGACGCTTATTTTGGTGATTTTTTCTTTACTTTTCCTGGAAATTTGGGTCCAGATTGTTGAAGTCTTAAATAGGAATGTCTAGGGTTTGATTTGTGATTTATAATTGAAGTTTAAGGTTTTGGTTGCAATTTTTTTGGTATATTGATTTCGATTTTGAGGGTCCAGGTAAATTATTTTGTTAATTTCATTTAAGGTTTCAGTGATTGTGTTTGTAGAGTATAATAGTATTCTTTTCTTTATGTAATTGTTTATTTGTTTTGTGGGTTCAGGCAATCATGAGTGACGACGGAGAAAAGACCTGCCCTCTTTGTGCGGAAGAGATGGATTTGACCGACCAGCAACTCAAGCCTTGCAACTGTGGTTATGAGGTCTAAATCACATCTCTTTCTTTTTTCCTAAAAAAAATCTTACATTTGTTTGGCCATTCAGAAAATCAGAAAAGAAGTAAAAGCATGATTAAGAAGTGTCAGATTGGAGGAAAGGGGTTGTAATTTGTGTTGTAGGCCTTACATATTTTGATCTCTGAGGCAGATTTGTGTTTGGTGTTGGCATCACATAATGGATATGGCTGAGAAGGATAATACTGAGGGGAGGTGTCCAGCATGTCGTAGTGCTTATGATAAAGAAAAGATTGTAGGGACGGCTGCTAATTGTGAGAGGTTGTCAAGCTCTCTCGCTTTTTATTCTCATTAAATATATTCAATATTTACCTGCTGTCATCTCATGTACGCTGTTTCACTAAACAGGTTGGTTGCTGAAGTTAATATGGAAAGAAAAACAAAGTCGCAAAAAGGAAAGAGTAAATCACCTGAAGGAAGGAAGCAACTGAGCACTGTGCGAGTTATTCAACGGAATCTTGTTTACATAGTTGGGTTGCCACTTAATCTGGCAGATGAAGAGGTACACTCTTTCCATCCTCACTTTTAGATCTGCAATCTACAGGCAATATTTGAACTAAGCTGACTTAAGCTTGTGTCACTTTTGTGCAGCTTCTCCAACGTAGAGATTATTTTGGTCAATATGGGAAAGTTCTTAAAGTATCTATGTCTCGGACTGCAGCTGGTGTAATTCAGCAATTTCCAAACAATACGTGTAGTGTGTAAGTGCATTATTTAATGTATTCGGTCTCTAGTCTTCCAAATAATGAGACATACTTGTATTATGTATTGTCTTTGGATTTTTAATAGAAGTCATCATATCATGTAGATCGTACTATGTTGAGGTGTTCCCCCCCCCCTTTTATAGTCCCCTGTAACTTAGAAATTTATTGTTTTCAATGACATTTGTTTACCCTGTAAACAGATATATTACGTACTCAAAAGAAGAGGAAGCCATTCGTTGTATCCAGTCTGTACATGGATTTGTCTTGGACGGTAGACCATTAAAGTATGTGAATGTGTTTGTGAGTTTATTCTTTTGTTAGTGGTTGGGTGTTTATGTAGTCTTGGTTGTCATCCCTAATACTTGGAATGTTCATTTCAGGGCATGCTTTGGTACAACAAAGTATTGTCATGCATGGCTGAGAAATGTGGTATGTTTTGAAGTAATTTTTGGTTAATTTATTTTGTGAATTAAAGAAAATTTAGTGTTTTTATTGCCTGCTAGTTTTATAAATTAGTACAAAAAGTAGTTTTGAAAATCAATACACTAATTGTAAGTGCAAAATATTGCAAAGTAATATAATGATGAATAAATATTGATCTCTCATAGATTGGTACACATTGGCATTATTTTGACTCTAATTCTATCTAGCAACTGAATTTTAAATAGCAAGCTTAAAGCAAATAGAAAATTACCTGTGCATATATATATATATATGTATATATATATATATATATTGGTCAATTTATCTGTGCATATTTTCGAGACCTAATTCATTTAATTGAGCACGTAAAAATTGTTAAAAATTGTCGTTTTGAGTTAAAATTAGAAAGAACACAGTGCCATGACAAAGGACCCTAATCATTGGAAACCGTAAATTTTGATCACAGTGACCATAAAAGTAACATTGCTCGATAAGCATCATGATAAAAAATAATAGTATCTAGTGGACAAAATATGGAAGGTTTTGATTTGCCAGATGCAAAATGTTATAAGGTTTGTTATTGTAATAGAAAATGATCAAGTTCTTTTTGGGGTTGCAGCCTTGCACAAATCCTGATTGTCTATATTTGCATGAGATTGGTTCTCAAGAAGATAGTTTCACAAAAGATGAAATTATATCAGCGTACACAAGGTATGTTACTTGAGTTTGCCTGTCATCTCTATTACTTCTTTTATACTTTGTTTTTAGTGAGGTTACATGAAATTTCATTTTGAGATGAAGAAAACCCATAAGTAGATGTTTTATGATTTTATTGAATGCATGTCGGTATTGACTATAATTTCATTCATCATTTATTAATAAAACCAATTAGAGCTGCCATAGTCACTACTTTTATGGTAACCCATTTGAAATGGAGTTCTCGTATGCTCTTAGAATGCCTTTATATACCCAAGTAGCAAGGAAAGTATGTTAGTGACCGTTATTCTTGAAAAGTTAACATCTGCAAAGGATGTTTTAGGATCTTTTTGTATTCTGGAGTATTGGTGTGCGTTATTGTTTTTGATAATGCTTCAAAAGGGTTCTGCCTTCCCATTGGTGCTTCTTGGATCCTCACCCATTCTTTTCGCAAGCCCTGTCAAAAGGTTTTCTTTAACAAAGTATGGTTCTATTGTAGTCTTCACTTTTCAAATAGGAGTTTCAAATCAAATTTGGATGTCTTTGCTCGTTCTTTGAGATTTTATTGCAATATTTCATTTCTAAGCATGCATTCTGATTTCTCCCTTAATTTTGAGGATCTTTTTGTATTCTGGAGTATTGGTGTGCGTTATTGTTTTTGATAATGCTTCAAAAGGGTTCTGCCTTCCCATTGGTGCTTCTTGGATCCTCACCCATTCTTTTCGCAAGCCCTGTCAAAAGGTTTTCTTTAACAAAGTATGGTTCTATTGTAGTCTTCACTTTTCAAATAGGAGTTTCAAATCAAATTTGGATGTCTTTGCTCGTTCTTTGAGATTTTATTGCAATATTTCATTTCTAAGTATGCATTCTGATTTCTCCCTTAATTTTGAGTAATGTCTTCTATTGCATGATTTATAAGCTTATTTTTTTAAAGGAGTAGGCTTCATGAAGTAAATGTTTCAAAATTTTGCATTATTTACAAACTTAGTTATTTAAAGTAGGGTTCAACAAATAACTGGTGCAACAAACAACATGCAACGGTGTCCTGGAAATATGTTACCTCCACCAGTGGATGATTATTGCCCCAACAGTTCTGCTTCTGCAGCAAAACCAATTGCTAAAAGTGTTCCAAATGTAAGTTCATACTCCCAAACAAAAAGTGGGTAGGTAAAGTATTACACACAGAACTTAGGAAAATAGTTAACCTTTCTAGCAGATTTTTGCCACATTTCTTGGTAACTTGTTTGTTTTTAGTTTGAATCATTGCAATAAGATCTGTGAAATATTAGCATGGGTGGGTTGAGGTTGCAATCAATCAAAGCACCATGCATACTTGGTCCTGGTTCCTGCACCTAACTTGGTTATGATTTTATATATTGTACAGAATGCAATGGCGACCATTCCAAAAAGTTCTCCAAATTGCAGCTCTGGTAGATCTATTGCTCTTCCTGCTGGAGCATCATGGTATGCTATTTGATGTGTACTCTGACAATTTGTTATGTTAATTGCTGGTGCTAAAATTCTGAATCATTCTGCCAGGGGAACGTGTGCATTAAATCAATCACAACTGGTTGGTTTAGCTTGTTCGAATGGACCTCCTAAGCAGAATCCTGACACAGTCAGCAGCTCATTACCATTTTCATCTGCAGTAACAAACACCAAGCAAACATGTTCAGCAAATGCTGATTTTATAAAGAAGCCATCTGAGGAGATTCATGCTATGCCTATGAAGAGTAGACCCGATTTGTTAAAACCTCCAAAGGAGAATGCTGGTTTAGATTGTCAAACCACTACGCTAATGAAACCTACTTCTCCCAATGGAGTTACTTCTTCTATATCATTGAGCAGCCGGTTATCTCCGACACTAGTATCCAATCATGATGACCAGGGCACTAATATATCAGCAGCTATTACAAACTCCTCCTTGGGTCATGGTGGTCAGACATCTATTTCCTGTGGTGAGGAAGTGAGGAGTATTTCCTCTGCTGATGGGAACACAGAGAGGTTGTGCTCTGATATGTCAACATTGACTTTGGATAGGATGAGTGGACATTCTGATGAAGTTAGGCCAAACAGTTCAGCTTCTGAACATGGATCTAGCAGTTCACCTAGTAGTCAGGGGTTACGACAATGTTATAATGATTACCATCAAGAACCATTAAGTTCAGAAGCTGGTGGGAGATATGTGACCTCTCCCAGTGAGGTGTGTGTTTCAAAAGACCAGTCTTTCTGGAAAACTGACGCACATATTCAAGCTTTGGAAAATATAAGTTCTGAAGTAGAGGAAGAGATATTGTCTTTTGATAATCAGAGACTCAAGGATCCTGAAGTGATTAGTTGTTCAAGTTATGTGCCAAATTCACCAATTCCGTTCAAATTGTCAAATCACTGTAGGTCGCATTCTTTGCAACATGGTGAAGCTTTTGGTTCTGTTAATTTGAAAATTGATACTCTCATTGTAGATAATAAAGCACATGACACTTCATGTCTTCATGGAGCTAATGTTTCTACTTTGTCTAATGGGTACCTTGATAAGTACATAAGCAGTGGTATTGGTTCTGACATTACCACGGAATGCTACTCTCTGCTTTCAAATAGAGAGAAAGGGAAGCAGTTGGGAAGATTCCTTGTTAATGCCGAGAGGAATGCTGCTAATGATACAGGGGAGAGCAACTTAATTTCGAACATATTGTCACTAGATTTTGATACATGGGATGAGCCTCTGACTTCTCCGCAGACCTTGGCGAAATTGTTGGGAGACAGTGAGAAGCAGCAGCCCAGTCCTCTCAGATTATCTAGTTCGTGGAAAGCTCTGAATACCAATCAGTCCCGATTCTCATTTGCAAGACAGGAGGATACTAAATATTGTCCGGCTGATGTTGAGTCCTTGTATAGTGTTTTTGGGCAAATGCCACAGAACCATCCTTCTAGCCAAGATTTTGCAGACAGCAGGGATCTTTATCTAGGCAAGTTTGGAGGTCCTAATGGTTTATCTTCCTGTAACTTTGAAGAATCTGACAAATTTTCCAGCAGTCCTTCAGTTTCCTCCAATAAGCTTTCTGGTGAGTGTCTAGAAATTTACTCTGCTCCAGTTTATCTTTAGTTGCATTCTTCATTTCTTATTGAACTTTATTCTTGCTGTGTTAATATTTAGTTCAACGGTATCTGTTTTTATAACCTGCGATCATGCAACCATTCTCACAATGTATTCTGTAACATCATCATGGTTTAATTAGTTTGTTTTAAATAGGTTTTCAAAATGATATTGTGATATACCACCTTTGCTCAAATGTGTGTTTTTCCCCAACTTAAGTGTACAATTTAATTGTTTCTTTTTCTCTATGCCGAGCATCATTCTTCATGTCATTTCTTTCAGACCCTTATCCAAGTTTGGCTTTGATTTTAGTTCATAGTGATCACTTATTCATTTTTGTCTACCAGCTTCAAGAGCTCAGATTTCGGCCCCACCAGGATTCTCTGTCCCTAGCAGGGCACCACCTCCAGGCTTTTCTTCTATTGAGAGAGTAAACCATGCTTTTGACCACACATCTGGTAAGTATTTTTGTATTGGGTTTTGATTTTGGGATTTCCTCGCTTCCAACAAATTAATGTTGATTGTTTTTATCTATAGGAAATCATTTGATGGACTCTTCAACCCTATTAAGAAATTCTTATCAGGCTCCTCAAAGTGGTGGGATTGGTGGCGCTGGGGATGTAGAACTTATAGATCCAGCAATTTTGGAAGTTGGTAAGGGTAGAATTCACGGAGGGCTCAATTATCCAGGCTTTGACATGAGATCAAATTTTGTTGAACAGTTAGGTACCTATGAAAACGAGGCCAGATTACAAGTACTGATGCAGAGATCTCTTTCTCCGCATCAGAACCTTAGATATGATGCTGGGAATAGCTTTTCTTCTCCGAATGACTCTTATGGGATTTCTTCAAGGCTAATGGACCACTCACAAGTTAACAATATGTCCTCATTTGCCCAATTGAATCTCCAACAGTCGAGAAACACACATAATATGTCAAATGGTCACTGGAACGGATGGAATGAGGTCCAGGGTGGAAACGGTCTTGGTGTGGCAGAGCTCCTAAGAAACGAAAGATTGGGATTTAATAAGTTTTATTCCGGGTATGAAGACTCAAAGTACAGGATGCCCACATCAGGGGATCTGTACAACAGAACATTCGGGATGTGATTGTTCTCCGGAACCAAGTTGGTTGCTTAATTGCCAATATTGCTTTATGCTGAGAGGGAGAATGACTTACGCAATCTTGGTTTGCACGTTGAGTATGGGCATGCTGACTTGTAACTGGTGTCCTTGGCCAAGGGAACCCTAATGAAGGATTGATATTCTGATGACTTCCTCTAAAAAGGCAGTGTCTGGAAACCAGCACAAGCTGGTGGTAAGTAAGAAGATATTCTAGTATTATAAGTTTTATATTCTGCCTGTTTATTGTGTCTGCACCTGCTCGTTTTGGCCAAAAAAAAATTGCTGTGAAAGCTTTTTGTAGGTCACAATTTTGGGTAAAAAAATAGGCGAAGGTTGGAGGCCAAAATGGTTACAGTTACAAATTAAAATGTACATCTTTGTATTTGCATGTGCTTCTTTCAATATGGAAACGATTTTTTTCTTTAAATTATTTCTTGTATTTCTGTCTGGTACAATATTTTGTCACCCTTCCCAATCCAAGCTTTGTGCATTTCCCCCAATACTATATATTTATGTTTTTAAATTGCTCCAAAATTTGTTGGAGTTTTCATTTGTTTAATGGTGATTTTTTTATGTATATTAAAAAGCATTAATTCTATTTAGACTCAAATTATTCGTTCCTAGATGGCTTACGGAGGAGTTAACGCCATAAAACATTAGGCGTCATCCACTGGCTCAATGCCTGTTGTGTTAATTCACAAGAGTGTAAAGTGTATTCTTCTCAATAAACCGTCAAACTTGTAAAAGAATGCTCGAGTACTATGGAAGCAGGATCTAATAGTCAAAAGCCACTCAAAAACAAGGAACCATGAAATTGTATCTAACCCAATGAAAGGCACCGTCGTTTCAAGAATCTTCTAAAATGACCAATTATTTCAGAGATTAATACCTTTACTGAGATGTCATGTTCATGAAAAAAAAAACGAAGCATGACAAAACACACAATGAAGGTAAAAGAAAATCTTGTTAGTAGAAACAATAATTGAAGGAATATGAGTCATTAAAGAAAAAAGAGTAATTGAATACAACTCATAAATAAGGTTGTAATTAAATAACATGAATAAAGCACATAAAGGAAATTAAAGTCCTAACCACATGTGTTCTAGTTCTCTTAGGGCTTCCACCTGGTCTAATAGGGTGGGCTTACTAAATTCTCTATATGAGGTTCGGTTCTAAAAAGGGTTCCCAAACTGTCCTTACAACCTGTTAAGTTAATAAAGAATTTGATTCTGGCTCATTACAGACTTTGCGAAACAAATTCAGCTTAGGGGATCACATCACTAAATGAATGTCTTATAATTGATATCCAAACTGACACTTAGAATGCTTTCAGAGATACTTTGTTAGACCCATATGAGGAAACCTAATGTTCCTCAGTGGAGTGATGTTTTCCCCTTCTTTGGTGAAACAAGATGAAACTCGGGTATAGATTTATGATATGCAATAGTTCTAAATATGTTCAGACCAGTGAAAGCATTGACCAAAGAGAAAATATTTTTTTTCGATTTTTTAAAAAGAACATAATGAATTGTAAATTAAATAAATTCGAACTTAAAATTTTCAAACTCCAAATATAGGGTAATCGACTCGTGGCTCGACTCTCAATTTTTGTTTTAGAAAACAAAAGTCCCCGGTGGAGTTATGGGGTATCCTGATGCTAATTAAGAAGAAGTCATTTCATCCACCCGTGAAGCCTTATTGCACTTGCATTGTCTTATTTAACCTTGTTTTTGTTCTTTGTTTATTTTGGCTTAAATATTTTTGTAAATAGTTTGACACTTGAACTTATATCATCTTCTAAGGCTATGAGAAATGAATCAATTTTTATTCTTGTAGTTCTTTAAATATTAAAGATTCTTTTAATTTTTCAAGAATTATAGATTTTTGAAAAATGGCAATATTAGACCTCTCGTATCTCGTCCAAAGCCAAGAGTATAATCATTCGATTCCTTACCTAATATAAATTATGGTCACTATCAAAGGTCAAACCTTGACATCATTTCCCTTTAAGACACCAAAGTCATACATTTATCTTTTCCAAGGCAGTAAATTAATACTCTTACCTTCTTAGGCAGAGCCGATCTTTTCATAACATTACTTTTCTCCAAAGATATGACTTCAAAGTCACACATTTGCCTTCTTAGACGCGTAACTGACACACGAACCCAATTTTTAATTTTTGTATGCCAAAATTTGGTATTTTTTTATAATATAAAATGTTTTATTAAAATTATCCGATTATAGATGTTCCAATCACACTTTAAAATTATTGATGACGACTCCCAAACATTTCATCAAAAATCATTTGAAAAAGAAAACTTCCATTTTCGTACAAGTTCAAACAAGACCATGCAACTCGGATAAAATCATTTAACATTTCATAGAAATCAATCGAATAGTTCTAGATATTAAAAAGCATTTAATATTAGTTATAATTATAATTAATGAAAAAAAAAACACACTCGATCGGTAGAATTCCATTGTTGAAATTTAGAGTGATACGATACCTTTTCAAAATCAACAAGAACTTTATTTTAATGCAATTTTTTTTATAATCAACAATAACACAGAAAGATGTATTCTTCGAATATCATCAAGAATTACTAACAGCTGAATAGTTAGAAAAATTCGAATAGAAATAGATCCTTCAAATTCCTAGAATGAAAATCCTGATTAATATATGAATGATGAAGTATGTATCTACGAAAATTTCTTGAGGTCTTAGTTTCGAGTATCAGAAATATTAGGAGTGTGAGTGTTAAATGATTTAGAGATATCTATAAATAAATACTATCTTATATTTAGCCTAAATTTTTTAAGAAGGAAAAAAAGAAAATTGCTAATACTAGATAGTAGTTATAAACATAGTCATTGCAGATCTGTTTTTGACGATCTAAGGCATTTAAAGTGGTTGCAGATGTGAGGGGCCAGTAAAAGCAATTTCATAAGGTTGCTGTGGGATTATTGAATATTAGAAGAGATCCATGGTTGCAGTTTTTTAGTTTTTAATGGCTTTTCGAGTTAAGTGGGGAGCCAATGTCCTTGAGGCTGTGTTATAAATTATTAGATCGATTATATACAATTATGGTGTACTCTTTTTCCTTCAGTTAAATTTAGGGAGTTTTTATTTTTAATGATGTCTATATTTCGTCTTGTCTTGTACGTTATATATTGTCTAATAACATATAAAACTACCATTTAAAAAAAACATGTTCATTGCGAAACTTTTGTCAAATTTTTCATGATTCATTTCACGCTAAGTTCAATTTTTTTTTCAATTTTAATTTAATCAATAACTAAAACACAATTAAATTTAAAAAATCTCACCCCAAAAATCACATATTAAAACATCAAATTGACAGTAAAACATTTACATAAATTACCTTCGAACAAAAGCAGGAGACGCAAAAATTTTACAACAATAATACTTGATATATAAAATAAAACCAAAAAAATTCAAGATAAACGTAGGATTCTTTGAAATATATAATAAGCATTTTACAGCAACTGTCATCTCCCCCTAAAAGATTAGAAGAAACAACCATGGCAGACATGGCTTCAATCACCAACAACATACAGTACAACATGAAATCTTACAACTTACATGGCTTCAATCACAAGCATCCCCTACCTTAACCGATAAAAAAAAGCTTTAGTTAATGTAGGGTTAACCTTGTAAGAAAAAGAAAACGTAAGAAGCTTTGCCATCTTAATCTAAAATGAAAGAAGCTTTCACATTGTGGCATTTTCATCCCCGACTTTTTGGGGCATTTTGACGGTTAACAGTTTTTTATGAAACTGGGTTCGAGGAACTTTAAAGATGTCACTCTGGAATGGACACATGATTTTGTGTTACAAAAAATGAAATTTTTAAAATTTTATGAGGGACCCTATAAAATTCTAAGGGAAATAAAAAATATCTAAAATATATATTAATTTAAAATTTTCAGAGACAATTAGCCCACTCGTCTTCGAAAGGACATCATTTACTTTGAGTGATGACTGTAGCCTTTACCATGATTGTATTCTCCTTTGGTTGCCCCTACTGCTTCTTTAGCCTTGGAGGCAGCAGAAGCAATAGTCTTGACCAAGCTCTCAAATATTTGAGCCTTGTTTTGGCCTCTCCTTGGGGAAATTGGGGCTCCTCCTTTTTCCTATAAAGTCGAAACAAAGAAACAACAGAGTCAGAAGATAGAATAAAATTAGCTTACCCGTATTCCCATATGTAATGGGGTAAGGGGAGGTAGGATAGTAGGTTGTCCCAAACACCAGGTTGAGAGCAGCTTCCGTGTGAGACCTCCAAATTATGAATTGCCCACCATGGGACTCGATCCCACGACCACAAGATTAAGAGCATTGTGCTCTACCAACTAAGCTGGATGGGTAATTCAATCAGAAGATAGAACAACCCCACAAATGAAGATCAAAATTCCAAGAAGTAAAAACAAATGCTTACATTTCAATGAAGAATATGGAAGATTAAGTGGGAGGGATGAGCAAGAGAGAAGAGAAATGAGAAATGCTTTTGTTGGAATATAAAGATTGAAGGGTGGTGGTGTGTTGATTTTATAGGGTGTAAGAATTCATAGTTTCCTTGTTATGAGGGAGCCACCTTTTAGGCAGCTACTTGGGTTTGACGGGGTTAGAGGAAACAAGGGATTTGGGGGTTTAAGGGAGGTGTCCCATTGAATTGAAGTACTTGGGATGAGCAATTGCACTTTCTTTGCAATTTCTCATAGTCACAACTAAAAGCTTGGAATAGTATCCCCAACTTGGTGAAGTTGGGATGAGCAATTCCCCTTTCATAATTTGACTTTTATACTTTAATTGGATAGATTTATTTATTTTTAATATAAATTAGAAATGTATGTTTAAATTTCATTGATTTAAAATAATTAGATTTAAGAAAGAAAATTCAAATTCCACCTTAACATGTGTTTTTTAATAAAACTAAATTTTTATTAAATAAAAAGCTAACGTATAACAAATACAATACAATCCCAACATAGATATTTAAAGGGCATCAAGAAAAATAAAATCAAAATCATCCCTTGAATATATGTTTTATCTTTTACAAAACCTAGCAACTACTAATAATCTTCATACCTCTATTCGAACATACGCGTAATATTGATATAGACGTAAAGATTGAGAGAATCAATATAACATATTGCTCCACAAACAGTTCTGAATGTATTAATAAATTGCCGTAAATGATAATCTAATTATTTAAGACCGTCATCCTTTCTTGATTATGAGATACATTATGATGAATATAAGACGAAACATTATACTATTATAACGATAGATAAAAATGTATCATAAAAACAAATGAATAGTTGTGTAATAAAAGTAGATGAAAATCAATACTTCAAGAATATGCAAAAAGAAAGAAATTAGAATGGAACGGTGTTTATTTAGATATAAATCAAAATAAAATTAAATAAAAATAAGAATAAGAACAATGATTGACATTTTTTATTAATATTGGATAAATACAAAATAATATGTATTTATAAATAAATTTCAATTATTTTTTATTGAATGTTCATACATGTGATGTTTATAATGCTCGAATCAAAATCTCAATAAATAACAATAATTTATTTATCACCGAAATCGCTTAGTTCGTGAAAAAATAACAACCCATGGACTACCATAGAATGTGACATCTCGAAAGAAAAATTTAAAAGTAATTTAAAGAGAAAAGTGTTTTCTTATAAAAGAAAACTAATTTTTTTACTTTATTAGGTTCTGTTTTGAAAATTGGACCGGATCGATCGGTTCAACCGATTCAACCGGGAACCGTTAGTTAGTTCGGTTCAATCTAAATAGGTTGAACCGTTATTAGTGAACCAACCAGAACCGCTGGACCATTCGAACCGGACCGGCTGAAAACCGAAAAAAAACCGGGATTTTTGTTTTTTTTTAAAAAAAATTAAACCAAACAACGTCGTTTGTTAAACGAGCCAAGTCGAACTCGAGTATTGCTGAGCTCGACTCGAACTTGAAAACTTTAAAAGTAAGCTCAACTCAAACTCACAAGCTAAAAAAATTATTAAGTTCAACTCAAACTCAAAATATAATGAAACTTGAACTCAAAAAAAAATTTAGAAGCTCGATTGAAGCCTAAAATTCGAGCTTGATTGAAGTGAAAGAATAGTTCACTCAATGCTCACCAAAAGGCTCCATGATTTTGAATGTCAAATTACATCTATTATTTATAGAAGTTAGTTGTGATGCGCTTCTATGTTTCTTAGCAATGTAAGATTGTTTTGTTCTCATATTTTTACTCTTTAGATTTTTGGGATGCTCTTCTATGTTTCTTAGCCATGTGGGATTGTTTTTTAAAAAAAATTAAATCAAACAATATCATTTTGTTATGATTTTTTTAACCCCAAATTTATTTTTTAATTATAGTTATATAATTATATTTATTATTTAATATGTTTTACCTTAAATATTATGTTGTAGTTAATTTGAATCATTTTATTTCACTTGATTTTATGGTTTTTAACTTATATATGTTATGACTTGCTTTGAATATGACTTGTGATATAAAAAATTATTTTTTATTAAATATTTTTGGTATTTTTATTTAATTTTTTAAATAATTATTACGTCGTCTTGTTCTTCCGACCAGTCGAATCAGTTCGACCGATTGAATCAATAAACCAATAGCAGTACTGATTCACTAATCGAGTTCTTAAAACTTGATCCCTTATGTTTCAAATTAAACTTCACAACACAAGTTATTAGAAAAAGGTACGTGACTCAAAAATAATGGGTTGACTCTTTATCTCAAGAAGAAAAAGGGTGACAAATCAAATTCAAAGAGACAAAGGTGATGGCGAACAAGCTGATCAGCGAAATCCCACTTCCCAAATCCATAGCCAACGTGTTTGCCGCTCGTAATATTTCTACTGCCAAGGTTTCTTCTTCTTCTTCTTCTTTTATTTTTGTTTTTAGCTCTTCAATTTTTTTTTGATATTTAGTAGTTTCATTTTCCTTTTTGACTTTAAGGAAGCGTTATCTTTAACGGAATTTGAGTTAATGGAGTTGTTAGATGTGGGATTAACGGAAGTGAAGTCTGCATTGTCTCAGATCAGTGAGATCGTTGCTCCACCGTATCAAACTGTAATTGAAATTTATATATACTTTTTGCTTCAATTAATTGGGTTTCTTCCCCCTTTTTCATTCTATTTTCTGACAGATTTAGGGCTTTGGGTAATAACAGGCACTTTCTTTAATGGAACAAAGGTTTCAAAACGAGCATTTGAGAGGCCATTTTCCAACAGGCCTGAAAGGATTGGATGCAGCTTTATGTGGAGGAATTCCATTTGGGGTTTTAACTGAGTTAGTTGGTCCAGCTGGAATTGGCAAAACCCAGGTAAAGAGTTCTTATTTTATTTTTCAATGCATTTGACAAGTCTCGTAAAAATTTGAACTTTTGGAGTCCCTTGATTTGTAAATTGTGATTCAATCAGGTATATGAAGTAATTAGGGGTAGCTTGTCTGGTTAAATTGCAGTTATGCCTAAAGCTTTCGCTATTGGCTTCATTACCTACAAATTATGGAGGCTTGGATGGTCGAGTGATATATATTGACGTTGAATCTAAATTCAGTTCACGAAGGTAATCAAGCTTTCTTTTTTGTCTTCCAGTGCCCATTTCACTTTCTGGTTTCTAGTTTGTTTGCACCCCTTTTATTTTGTATTGAAGTTATAAATCTGCCCCTTTCCAGGTTGTTAGAAATTGGGTTGAGAAGCTTACCCGAAATATTTCAGATGAAAGAAATGGCACAAGAGGTTTGCGTCATGACATATCTCCTGTTTTTGCTTCAAATTCCTTTTCTTTATAATGTCAGCTAAGAACGAAAAGAATGGTGCATTGATTTGTATTACAGATGGCCGGCAGGATTCTTGTTCTGCGGCCAACATCACTTTCAGAATTTACCCAGAGGTTTGTCACTGAATGAAAATTCTCAGCGGCTCCTATTACATTGTGTAGTTGCCTTAATGCGCTAATTGAACAATATCGACCAGCATTATTAGAATTCTTTGGTATTTTACTTATTTCTCAGTTTGGAACAAATCAAAGGTTCAATCCTCCAAAACCAAGTGAAGATGCTAGTGATTGATAGCATGGCTGCACTTGTTTCAGGGTAAGTTTTATATTCTAAATTTCTAACAAAGTTATCAAAGGCTCAAGGCGCATCAAGGTGCAAAGTGTCCTGGAGCCTTGAGGCGCGAGGTGCATGAAAGGCGCGGGATTCACGAAGGCGAGGCGCATGATATCCAAAAAATTGTAATACATGTATATATTAATGCAATCAAACTCAAATATCATAGATACCCAATATTAGGCTTCAATAGAGTTCATTCTCAAACTCAAAATACCAACCTAACGTCATAAAAGCTATCAACAAGCATAGAATCACTTACGGGAAGAATTGAATGTGTGAATCGATTAAATAAAGTGTTGTTACTGTCTTGTTCAACGTCGCAGTCGCCAGTCGAAGAAAAGGAGGAAGCGGCCGGTCGATAGGTTAGTATGTGTGGATTAGAAGGCCGATTGACAGTTGATTGAGGGTTTTAGTGGGTCGTCCCATAGGAGAGAAGGCCCTGCAGTAATAATTACATGGTTTTAAGCCTACATCCCGCCTCGACTGAGCCTCGCGCCTCTGAGCCTCGCTGCGCCTCGATGCGCCTAGGCTACGTGCCTTGCTTCAGTGTTGAAAAAGCCCCGTTCAGTGAGCCTCTGCGCTTTTGCGCTTTACAACTTTGATTTCTATGGCTTCAACTTGCCAATCTTGTGATTTGGATAAATAAGTTGTCATGATGTTTATTTCTAACTCTGTTCACCTTTAATCTGAAATATATGTGTTTCTTTCAAGCGAGAAATGAGAGTTTCATTTGGTACAGGGAACATGAGCAGGGAATTCGTAGACAACAAACATTGAGTTGGCATATTTCATTCATTAAGTAAATAAAAAAATTCAAACCCTCTGATTTGTTTCTCTTTCTTGAGGCAATTATCTTTTCAGTTCGACTTATATACATTTGCTTGGCTGAAATACATGTAGGTCACTAGCTGAATTTTCACGAATTCCTGTTGTAGTGACAAACCAAGTGAGATCTCATAACAACGATGATGCCTCTCGATATTCTTTCCAAGGTAAAGTGGCATAATCAAATTGTAAGATATTTTCCCAGATTTATTCTCACACTAGAATCTAACTTGTGCAGTTCAGAGTAGGGATGGAACTATAGAGATTCCCATGCGATACGATTCCCATCTTATTGCTGCTTTGGGGATTCATTGGGCTCATGCTGTTACCACTCGTTTAGTGCTGGAAGCTAAATCAGGTTGCAACAATACTTACTCTATTCTCCTTACAAGTAAACTTTTGTGGGAGATATTGGGAAGTACTCCTCATCTGCATGTTAGAAATGAGATGCTTTTGTGGTTTCTGCAACTACAGAAAACTTAAATTATTGGATTTCAATTTCATGATATATTTAAAGGTTGATTTGCTTGTTGTTTCTTGGAAAACCAAGCAACTCTAATGCCTATTTCTGTCGTCCCATCTTTCCTAGTAAAAAAAAGCATTGAATCAAGTGTATGTTTCTAATGCAAGATTGCCTTCTTTCCGCCCTAATAAAATCTCAATTTCCATTTTAGCATATTTAAATAGATCCAAATCCCATTTACCCGTTTGCGATTGCACTTTGAACAATTCATTGCTCTTGTAGGTAAGAGGTTTATAAAGGTGGCAAAATCTCCGATATCTCCACCCCTGGCTTTTCCTTTCCACATTACTTCATCAGGGATTTCATTGCTAAGTGATGATGGAATGGAACTGATGGGACCTGAGATAAACGCAATACACTGTCAAGGTTTGTTCTGACAAGCTTTAATGGATCTGTTGATTATTCCGAGAATATTGTTAAGAATACCAATGGCATGGTCTTTGTGATGGAGTTTTTACAGTGGAAATTTTTTTATAACTTTATTTATGAAGAAAATAATCTGCTAAAATATTCGAAAATTTGTCAAGTTTCTGGGATAATAGCAGTATGAGAACACCAACTCTTTAGTTCCTCAATGTTCTGCTGTAATGGCAAAATTGCAGGGCACAATGAAATAATCAGTTTTGGAATGCAAGGCTTACAATGACAAACAGTAGGTGGAAGCTTCATGAATCAGTTTGCAGGCTGGCTTCAAGAACTGCTCTATGCCATGAAATTTAAGGAGTCGTTAGGAAAATAATTCAACAGAATTCATTGTTAATCTGCCTAACAAATGTTTCTTTGCAAGTCAGTGAATTTTTATCGAATTCTAAATTTCCATTGCTTAAAAAATCTGGGAAATTTCTTGAATATTTGTAAATCTTGTTTAATTCTCTCTTTTTTTTCTTCCAACTTTTAAACGGCTAATGTATATATATGGTCTCATGTGCAGAGAAGATTTATTAATGGTTTTCTATCACTAAAAGTTTTCTTTTAGATAGGACATAGCTAGGATCAAACAATTGAGAGAGTTAAATTACATTACGTCAAAAACATAACAATCTATTAAGTATTTAAATCTGAAAATTATGATGGATTTTTTATTTAACTAAATTTCAAATTAAAAAATACTTAAAATGTTTTTATAGTTAAAAAAATTTGGGGATCACAACCTCTCCAATCCCTTAAGTACTATGTCCCTGTGTGTGTTGCTCATTTATATAAAATAAAGCCTTATGTAATTTCTGCTATAATTTCCTATTTTATTTGAATCGTGTCAAAATTACAGTATCTACTCAAATCAATCTTCCAAGTCTAAGTTTGAGGGGATCCAAATAGGAATGTAAATGAGATAGTGGAGCCTAAGTTTATTCAACTTGAACTGACTTGAAAAGTTTAAAAAGTTTAAGTTGAGCTCGATTTGACTTAAAAGCTTACGAGCTTAAAATTATTAAATTCGATTTGAACTCAAAATCAAAAATTAAAGTTTGACTTAAACTTGAAAAAACTTGAACTCCAACCATTCTCAGACTTAGCTTGGTTGAAGTTGTTAGAGTATGCCCAAAGACTAATCATATGATGATTGTATAAACACATTTTATTTACCGATTTTATTGAATAAAGACATTGCCACTATTATTTTTAATTATATATCTGTGTCTAACATAAACTGGAAGATAATAAAGTTCATATAATAATATGATTATTATTAAATATCCTTAGTCGAATAATAATATGTGTATGGACAATAATAATATGTTTAAGACTAACGTGTTATTGATTGATGACAATAAATTGTCATTGGCATAGAGATGTCAGAATCGATGCATAAATATGTTGTTAGAGAACGACATATTGGATTGACCCACTATGAGCATATGTCTTGGATTATTATGTGATGGTCACAACATTGCTCATGGTGATGATTATATGTATGATCCTCGGACTTGAGATCATTACTATCTCAACATATATTGTTATATGTTTTGATACATTTAAACATGCTCCGTAATTGGTTGCACTTAAAGACTAATATTGAACATATCTCGATATAAGTAGTGGGATGTGAATGATTAAGATATGATTTATCTTTCCTACACAATAAGAAATATATCACATACCACTTGATTGAGTGAGACTAGAAATACATAGCCATGCTCGAAAAAGTTGATATGAGATACCACAAATTATTTATTAATTATAGTATACTCTAGATATCAAGAAATAATAGATGGGTCATATAAGTGTGAGTATTCCAAAACTTGTGCCTATTATGGATATAAAGGACGAAAGGATGTACATAAAAGAGTCAGTCACAAATATGATGTGTCAAGTCATGATTTCTTGTAACTTATGTGACAATGATATATTATTAGATGTCACTCATTGTTTGTAATATTAGAATGATTCTAATAATTACTACTAATGTTACAAGAACATATAGGGTCAGACCCTAAGGTTGAAATGAGAAAATATTAAATGGATTTTATTGTACAATATAATTAAAGTTAATATATGTATATTTGATATACATATAATTTAATTATCCAAAATAAAATAAGTGGACATTAAAAGAATGCTATTACAATTAGAACTCTTTTAATGAATATTTAATTCAGAATAATTAAATAAGACTATTTTGGAATAAATAAATAAGATTTTATGATCATCATTTGAACAAACGTTGGTGAAGGTTAATCCAGCTTAGGAATAAGATTCGAATTTCAATGGCTAAAAGGAGCACAAGATCGATTATTGTCGACCCTTGGTTAACGCAGGAATGTATCACCAAGGCATTCACTATTGACCAGATCTTTGAAGTTAAGAATAACAAGAAGACATTGAAGAATGCTCTGTCGAGGTTTGAAGGAAGGAACCAAGTTTCCAAGTCAATTGAATTATTTCAGTTGCCATGACAATCGAGTTGCCTCGACAATCAAACTACTTAGACTTTCCAAACAGTCGATACACCACTAATCGCGATAACTTGGCCTACTCTCTCTCTCATTCAATCTCAATCTACGTTTTGTTTACTTGCCCAATTGTTTTATTTATTAGTCAACTCATATTATCATCAATTTCAATTCTCTTTATAGTGCAAGAAGTTAGAATTCAAACTTTCACCAATCCCTGTGGATACGATATCATTCTATACTATAATTTGATACGTGTATACTTGCACCAATTGCGAAGCACTTAAATCACGCAACAAGTTTTTGGTGCCGTTGCCAGGGATTAGCAATAGCGACTTTGATTTTTTATTTCTTGTATCAATTAATATTCATATTCAAGGGACTTACAATTTTTGGTTTTGTATCTGTGTAAGAGCAGGATGAGACCAACATCATCAGAGTACCCATTTGAACCCGAAATAAAGTGACTTTTTCATAGAAGAAGATGCGAACAACGAGAAGAAATAGAAAACGATCCAACAAACAACCCAAATGTCATTGGTAATCAGATAGATGAAGTAGAAGGAGAAGCTTTAATCGAGCAACCTGCTTAAGTACGGAACGAACCCATTCAAGACTACGTAGACGAAGATCTCAACGGTCTAAATCCAGGAGTTGTCACCCCCGAAATAGATGATGTCTATTTCGAATTAAAACTAGTAATGTTTAATATGATCAACACAATTGGTCAATTTGGCGGATCAGCAATAGAAGATGCCCGACAACATCTCAAATCATTCTTGGAAATTTGCAACTCATTCAAGTAACAAAGAGTCCATGATGATATCTTAAGGCTAAAATTATTCCCTTATTCACCGAGAGAGGGAGAAATTGTGGTTAAATAGTATCTCGTTCGGATCTCTAGAATCTTGGACAGATTTATACCATGATTTTCTTGCTAGATTTAGTTCTAAAACTATGATTGATAAATTGTGTAACGATATTACTTCTTTTAGACTGATAGACAGTGAATCCATGTACGAAGCTTGGGAGCGCTATAGGGAGCTTTTGCGTAGATATCCTATGCACGAATTCTCGATATGGACGCAAGTGACGATGTTCTACAATTCAATAAACACACAAACTAGGATGATGCCGGATGTCGCGACAAATGACATACACCTCGACAAGTCACCGGAAGAAGCGATGGAGATCTTGAACCGTCTTTCCAAGAATGATTATCAGTTCCTGACCACTAGAAGAGGAGGAGTCAAACGTAATACCATAATGAATGAGTTTGATTCATCATATACTATTTTCGCGTAGCTGGCTGCCTTAACCAACTTGGTTAAGAATATGCAGTGACCTAGCAATATATGAGATCAACGTAATGAATTAATTCTGCGAATTATGTAATGGTATCCATGATTCTTATGAGTAACCCACATAGCCCAGAACCTAGCTTTTATGTGGAAAACTACAACGAAGCAACAATGCAATGTCAAACACATACACTCCAGATTGGAGGAAGCATCTAAATATTTCATGGAGCAACCCAAACAATACCATCAATCAGAACCATCCGAATATACAAGCATCGGGATTTCAGCAGAACATGCCAAGGCAACAGTTACCCCAGCAACAGATGTTACCGCATCAACAACAATCAACACCGTCTAGTTCTTTAGAAAATTTTCTCCATTCGATTACATTAAAAACTGAATCTTACATGGTAGAGAATATTAATTTCATGAAAATAACTGACACTCTTGATTCTTGGTTCAAAACCCTTATAGACGATAGACATATAAGATCATCAGCGTTTCCAGACTTATCCAAGTTATTTGTTTTATTCTAGGTTTTTAGGGTACTTAGGTCATTTAGTAGTCAAGTTATCCCAGTCACTTCAAAGATTCCAGAGTAATTAAGTTGTTTCCACAATTCAAAAACCTACAATACTTCCATTTAGTTCAACTTGGTCATCTAATATAGTCATTTTACACTTCAAGGGTATTTTGGTCATTTTACACTTTAAGGGAAATTTCATAATGTCATAGTTAGGTAATTTCGACATTAAAGGTTTTAACAAGGATAAATAAAATTTAGAGATTTTGAGGTTATTTGCTTTTTCGGATAATCGTTGAACTTGAAATCATTCGTATCAGTCTTCTTGTGTCTATGCATGTAGTCTGAGCCCTATTTAATTTAATTTTATTTTATTTCGCAATCGGATCGAGTTTAGAATTTTTCACTACACACATGTAACCATATTAAACCATGCATTTACTAATACCAACATTTTCCATACAACATATTACCTTGATTTACGAGCCATATCGATCGACCATTTAAACTCCATTTGGTTGCCCTCAAACTTTAATCCAACGTCCAATAATTTCTCGGATACATAGAAAACAAATTTACGTTAGAAATTGAACTTAATCGAAAAACCAAATTGAATCCGAAGATAAAACACTGAAAAACGGCTTACCGAGTGCGAATTTGGAAAAATGAACTTCGGATTCAGACTCAGGACGTCAAAAACAAAAAATATAAATTTAAAAAAAATTGACTTTTTGGTCAAAGTCAATGGTCAAAGTCAACTGTCAAAGTCAATGGTCAAAGTTAATGGGTTGACTCAGACGAGTTGACTCATATGAGTTAACTTGGACAAGTTGACTCGAACGAATTGACTCAGTTCAGGGTGGTCCGATCCCTCTCAACCATTTTTAGACGAAACCATGGCTGGAGAAGAGCCCCACGTACATGTAGCGACGAGCCCGGGGTGATCGATCGATTACTGCTACAACTTCAACTAACCAATTAAAATCAATATTAAACCAAACATCAACCCACGTCGGTGATCAGCGAAACTGGAGACGTTGATAAGACCCACAGGTCAGGTTTTGAGCGAAACTGGCCGTGAAACATATTGGTGACGGCGGAGGCGAGATGGTCGTCGGATCGGTCGAAATTGACGAGAAAGGTGA